ACAGAAACAGAGAGAGAGACAGACAGACAGAGACAGAGACAGAGACAGACAGACAGAGACAGAGAGACAGAGAGAGAGAAGGAGAGAGAGAGACTCACTCAGGGAGGTGGTGGGGACAGAGACCCTCGGGGCTGCTGAAATTAGCATCAGCGCTGAACAGAATCTCTGTTTCCGTCGTGTTAATAATTTATCCCAGCTGCAACTTTTCTTACCAATAAATAGGAAATAATTTGTTAGGGAGAATTCCCTGGGCACGGCTCTCTCCCAGGCAGAGGAAGGCGCGTCTCCGCCCTTCCTCCCCAGACAGCCTGCTCTTGCGGAACTGGATCTCTTAGATGTCAGGGATGGAGCCTCTTGGCCCCCTCCTGCTTGGCCATTCCAAGAGAAGGGAAACTGAGGCATAGGTGGGCCAAGGCCACAGCCAGAGTCACCCATGGCATTGCTAGCAGTCCCTGGAGCCCTAATGGCATGACAGTGGGCTAAGGTGCTCCAGACTGATTTACTGTCCTGAAAGTCCCAGAAGCCAAACCAGACTGTGTGGAGCCCCTGTCACTTCCTGCCCTCTGCAGCTCTTCCCTCAGTCCCCAGCTTGGTGGGAACAAGACCAGGTGCTGCCTCCTGCTCCTCCAGGGTTCCCCGGTTGGGACCACAGCTGCCTCCAGCCCATCGTGGGGGAGGTTGACAGCGTGGCAGACAGGATCCCCAAGTCTCTCAGCTGCTCAACTGTTCTGGCCTGCCCACATGCCTGGGTGGTGATGCCTGCCTCCCCCACAGAGCGGGTGTCTGCAGAGTGGCAGGGCCTGGGGGCGACCATGTCCTTCCCAAGGGTGAAGGACACAGTCTCCCCACTTGTCTCCAAGTGGGGCGCTTCCTATCCCACCATGAACAGGGTGATCTTGGAAGGCTGTCCAGCCTTTCCTCCTCCATGAAATGTAAATAAAAGGATTTCATTTGCAGGACTAGGGACTGAGCCCAAGGTTTTTGCCCTGAGCTACATCCCCAGCCCTGGTTCTTAATATTTTAGTTGAGATAAGGTCTCACTTGGTCACTAAGTGGTCCAGACTGGGTTGAAACTTGCAGTCCTCCTGCCTCAGCCTCCTGGAGTGCTGGGATGACAGGTGTGTGCCGCTATGATTCCAGGCCCCAGGACACCGTGAGCTTCCAGTCTGACCATTGCAGCCACAGGGCTGGGGGTGGCTGGGATACCCTCCTGGCCTCCGGCGCGCTGCGCAGCCAGACGTAGGTCCTGGCCACACAGTGCCTAGGGCCAGGGTTGCTCCCCTGTGGAGAAGCCATTCACACCCACAAAGATGTCCTGTATCCCCAAAGAGCACAGGGGCTGGGCTGCAGTGGGGACAGAGGTGGACGGGATCTCCGCAGGGAGTATACGCGAAAACAAAATATCTTTTCCTGACCTATCCCATGTTCACGACTGAGGCCTGACAGCAAGAGAGAGATTAACCAGACAGAAGCACACAGATGAATTTAACACCAGTTCATCTGGCCTGAGCACCTTTGTGAAGAAGGTGACCCAGAGACAGAGGTAAATCTGCTTGTATTTGCGCTCAGTTGGGCCTGTGTCCATGCAGATGTATGACTGGATTAAAACACACCCCTGCAGCACGGCGTGATGGCACACCCCTGTCATCCCAGAACTCTGGAGGCTGAGGCAGGGGGATTACAAATTTCAGCCCAGCCAGGGAAACTTAAGGACTTGGCAAGACCTTGTCTCAAAATACCGAATTAGAAAGGGCCGGAAAGGAGCTAAATGTGAGGGCCTAGGCTCAAGCCCTAGTGACGCACACATACGCAAGTGTTGTACTGCTGGGGATATTTCTAGGTGTTCGGTACCAGGGCCTGAACTCAGCACCCTGCACTTGCAAGGCAAGCACTTGTTCTACTGAGCTATCTCCCCGGCCTTTTTTTTTTTTAATTTTGTTTTTTCTAGGTATTCTTTACCTCCCATCTCACATGATATTGAGTGAGGAAATAGAGGCTCAGAAAGTCTCACTACCTCCCTCCGCCAGGGTAGAGCTGAGCTGGAACTCAGGGCTTTCAGACCCCCACCTCAGGCAGGGGTTCCCGTGGGGCTCAACTAGATGGAAAGTGGGTTTCTGCATTTTTCTGCAGAAAATTCCAAGGTTTTATGGACTAACTCGTGAAATGGCTAAAGGGACTGCTGCCATGGGTGAAGCCACAGGTGGGTGCTACCTGAGAGGGCTGGCAGGCACCCACATGTCCTTAGCTTCTGAACCCTGTATCAGGTTGCTTAATTTTGGCATTGTTCAACTAATCTCACCCAAGAAGGTTCAGACCCTGGGAGCTGGCAGGGCCACCACACACACACACTGTCCCCAGCTGTCAGGGCTGGGGGAGGTGGGATTGGGGTGTGGGGGTCTTTGTCCCCAGTCCCAGGAAAGGACAGAGGACAGGTCACGTGTGGCCAGGGCCAAGGTGGCTGCACCATGCTCCTAACTGGCTCATAGCATCCTGAGGCCTTGGGTGGGGCAGAGGGAGGCTGGAAAGAAACAGGACGCAGGCCAGTAAATACCCGGCTGACTCCTTAGTTTCTGACCATCTGTTTCCCCAGGGGCTGGCGGGCAGCAGGCCCAGCCAGTGAGGGCGCACTGTCCACAGTCCTCGCCTGGCAGAGGCTGCTGCGTCTGTCCCCAGAGTGACAGGCTTGGAGGGACCCCACATCCCACACTAGCAGGCTGGTAGTGGTGGGACAAAAGCAGGATGTGGGAGAGGGACAGGGACGGGGGAGGGGGGAGCGCACGGCTCCCTGCCTTGCGGTTGACAGGAACACGGCACACTGTGTGGAACACGGCATGCTGAGTGTGGCAGACGGACCCAGTGCAGCCGCCACTGTGTTCATGGGTGTTTTTAAGTTTTACTTCTATGAATCCATGGTGGCAGTACAGAGTGGCTGTGCGCCTCATGGAAAGCTGGGGCGTGCAGAGCGCATCTTCACTGGTGCATCCCTCCCCTCCCCTCCTCCTCCCTCCACCTTGGTCCCTTTCCCATTTGCAAAAGATCAATCCCGCTGTTTCCTAGTATCTATTTTTTATTTTGCTCTTTAATTTATTTATACTTTGGGTTCTCATATACGAGAAGCTGCTCGATATTCAAGCTGTGCGTCTGCTGTGTGCGCCGGGCACACATGACGGTCTCGAGGTACGAACCTTCCCTACAGGCCCCTGGAGTTTACCCTCCTTTGTAGCCCGCAGTGCTCTGGGGGTGTCAGTGACACACTGAGAGGCAATCAGTGTGATGGGACTCAGTCCTATAATTTGGTGGGCGGTTGCTGAAGGAGGAGGAGACAGAGATGGAAACACAGGAAGAGGAGGAGGAGGAGGAGTTGGAGGAGGAGCAGCAGCAGCAGCAGCAGCAGATTCATTCTCAGACGCACTGTCCACACCTCAGAAGGCTTGGGCCAGCCCCGCCCATCCTGGCCTCAGTTTCCCTGCCTGTTCCTGGAGGGGTTGGATGACAGGCTGTGCTCCCAAGGTCTGCCAGCCCGGTGACCCACAGGGCCAGCCCAGCTGGGGGTGGACAAAGGCCCGGCAGGGCACTGAGGACAGGGCTATTTTAGTCGAGGAGGGCTTTGTGGGCCCGGCCTCCAGGAGCCCCAGGGCCAGCCCTGCCCACCAAGGGGTCCCAGGCTGTCTCAGAGCCTGTCCTCCTCTCCCAAGAATCAAAGCCACGGCCAGAGGCGCACTGTGGTGTGGCCTGCAGGGCTGGCAGGGTGGCGGCTGGGCCCTGCGTCCACTCCCGGAAGGGGGCCTCCCAGCTCACGGGGGAGTAAAAGGTTTTTAACTCAGATCCAAGCCATTTTGTCTCTGAACAAGCCAGACACCTGAAATATTCATCAAAGGGCTGGGAGCATTCTGGGGCCTGGTGGTTAGTACCACTATTTGGTGGTGTTTTTTATTTTTAATTAATAGACTTTATTACCCAGAGAAGTTTTAGCTCTGCAGATAATTGAGGCACTAAAGCAGAGAGGGCTGAGACCCCTCTGCCTCCCTGCTGGGGTTGCCACGGGCCAGGAATCGTGCCGGCTGGGCACCCACCCTCCCTCCCTCCCCTGCAGGAGAACCCCTACCTGTGCAGCAATGAGTGTGACGCCTCGAACCCCGACCTGGCCCACCCGCCGCGGCTCATGTTCGACCGCGAGGACGAGGGCCTGGCCACCTACTGGCAGAGCGTGACCTGGAGCCGCTACCCGAGCCCGCTGGAGGCCAACATCACCCTGTCGTGGAACAAGAGCGTGGAGCTGACGGACGATGTGGTAATGACCTTCGAGTACGGCCGGCCCACGGTCATGGTGCTGGAGAAGTCGCTGGACAACGGGCGCACGTGGCAGCCCTACCAGTTCTACGCCGAGGATTGCATGGAGGCCTTCGGCATGGCGGCGCGGCGCGCCCGCGACATGTCCCCGTCCAGCGCCCACCGCGTGCTGTGCACCGAGGAGCACTCCCGCTGGGCCGGCTCCAAGAAGGAGAAGCACGTGCGCTTCGAGGTGCGCGACCGCTTCGCCATCTTCGCAGGCCCCGACCTGCGCAACATGGACAACCTGTACACGCGGCTGGAGAGCGCCAAGGGCCTCAAGGACTTCTTCACACTCACCGACCTGCGCGTGCGCCTGCTGCGGCCGGCGCTGGGCGGCACCTACGTGCAGCGCGAGAACCTGTACAAGTACTTCTACGCCATCTCCAACATCGAGGTGATCGGCAGGTAAGGTCGCGGTCAGGGCCGCGCTGCTACCTGATTCCCGAGGGTGCTGGCTGATGCCTGGAATGTCACTTGGTACTCGGATGTCACCTGGTTGCTGGGGTATTTACTATCTGGTTCCCAAGACATATCTGTTCCCCAGGATGTCTCCTGGTACCTGGATGTCACTTAGTGTCTGGGACATCACCTTGTTCCTGGGATATCCCGGGTTCAGAGGATGTTGCCTTCCAGGGAGGTTACTTGGTGCGACATCATGACTCCCGTGCCTGTGACGGCCGGGCTGTGCAGACAGCTGCCCAGGCTGTTCTGCCCAGGGTGCGTGTGTGGTTGTTAGCATCCTCCTAGGGCTGTGGGCAGGGCTGGCTAGCACCTGGGCTGTGCAGGGTGAGCCACATTTGCCTACTGTCTGGGGGTCCTGAAGACCACCTCAGGCTCCACAAGTCACCAGAGAGAGCTGGTGGTACCATTGCTTACAGCACTGCCGTACTGTGGAGAAAGGCTGCAGCCTGAAGGCAGGAACAGGACAGTGCCCAGGCGGGCCCGGGAGCTCAGAAGGCTGGGGCCGCCCAGCCCTTGCCCTGAAGAGTGTCCCCCTGCCTGGGCAAAGTTCTTGGAGGCTCCCAGGAGCCAGGCTGGCATGGGCAGCCAAGAGTGAGCTCCCCATTGCCAGAGCATTCGAGCTGGCCAGGTGGCATTTGTAAGGGCTGATGCAGAGGAGCCTGTACACCAGATTCAGGTAGCAGTGGTACCTGCAAGTGAACAGAAGCTCCCTGCAGCCCCGTGCCCTGCTTGTGCTCTGGGCTGGGCATCCCAGCCATGTGCTCCCCTGGCTGGAGAGGAAAGATCCCTAGACTCTGCAGGAGGCCGTCCTGGGCTGGACCTGTGCACCTCCCAGCCCACTGGCCTGCTTCTTCCTCCTCCCCCTGCCCCTTGCCTCCATCCACCCTCCACAGACATCCGGTCCCTATTGATTGCTGGTAACTAGAGATGGCCAGGGCTAGACTAGAATAGATATACAGAAGCAAGTTTTAAGCGGGGGGGGGGGGG